ACCCAAACTTTTAATCAAACTAAATCCAACATTTATAAGTTTATATCTAATAAGAAAAAATATTTCAAACATAGTCACATGCAATTAAAAGCTCGCTTCAAATTAGATTTGTATCTTTTACACGCTTTGGACTCTTTACCTTTTGTCAGTTACATTTTTTCCATTTCTTTTGCTCAAAATCTTTAAAGTTCTGTTCATCTTCCTCACCTTCCCCATTCCATTCTTTAAATCGGGTTATTAGTAATCTCTATTACGATTCCCAACTAAGCAACTCCCCTAATTTGCTATTCTCTATCTGCCATTCTCTTACTCAAATTTTTCTCCATCAAACTTTAGCCGCTAGAAAACGAGAAAGGAGTCAGAGAAGTTAAGCAGGTAAATAACCAGAGAGTTTGTTTTAACTTTTAACTGTTCATGAGCTTCTCATATCGTTTCGTTTTTTGTTAGACTAGAATATCCAAAAGTTATCGGTTCTTGAGATGTTTTTTTTTCTATTAATTTTCACACAAAAAACTAATATAATGACTCAGCCTATGAAGCAGCATGTTCATGTTCAAGTGATATCAATTTGTTGATATATATATATATATATATAAACGAACGGTACAGGGTTTTTTCCTTCTTTTTTTGTGCGAACAGTAAAGGTTATACTTCAAAAATATCCTTATGATAATAGATAAGGAGTTTTGATTTGCAATTACTTATGTGCCAGAATTAAGTTCTAATACATGTTTCGTTTTTCAGGAAATCTACGAGTTTTACTTTCTCATACAAGTAGCTACTTCACAAATTCCATTGCTCTCAGCCACTCTCGTGTGGTTTAGGTCTCATGCATAAAGGCAAGCTGTCCTATCCGTTGATCATCATGTTTTTGTATATATTTTCACACATCTACTCTGACAGGCCATATATAGATTCTTAATGACGTATACAAAGAGTCATTGTCACTATTATCATATTTCAAAACCATAAAAGATCAGATTTCTATTTCTTTTTTTTTTAGATTAATCAGGTTTCTACTTTCAATTTTCATTTAGTAACATGTCCATTTAAATATTCATCTACAATGAATCTTATCTTTACAAATGATGGTTCATGATCGGAGGCAACGGAGGCCTTTGTGCTTAGTCATGTCAGGGTTACAGGATATAAAGCATAATTCTGAATAAGGATACACCCTGCTTTAACTATTACAGTCGATTTCTTTGATCAAGATGGAATATACGTCACTTCATGACCAATTTTGGCTACATTGGTTATATAGTGTTTGGTTCGTTATTGGTTTGTTATTTAATTAGAAACTCATAAGGTTACAACTTCAATAGGGTTATCTCAATTGATAAATATGCTTACAGTGTTTTTTCCTTTGGATTTTTTGCTAATCAGATTGAAAACTTTCGAAAAAGTGTAAGACCCTGTAATAAACACTCCTTTTGTTCTTCGATAGAGATCAGCAATATTTTTATGGAAAACATATACTCCCCTTCGCAGCTGATTTGAGAAGGTTCGAACAATCTCGCCTTTTTCTTTCACTTTCCTTATCGTCATTAAAATTAAAATAAAGTAGAATTTAGGAACAACGAACTAATATGACATAATTAGCAGCTGCTGTTCTTTTGTAGTACCTAGCTATGGCGGTTGGTTTCTGTCTGCATGCTGAAAAGAGAGTGACCTCAAAGGCAAGTTTATAATTCGTTTTTCTATCCCGCGTTTTCTGTATGACTAAAAAAAAAGTTGTAGGGATGCGACTTATTAAGACATGCTCTTCTCAGTGCTTTAGGTTATAATCTATTTATGATGATGAATGATGAATGGAGTCAGCACAAGAAAGATATCAAAATATTTCAATGCACTCATATATATATAAAAGCAAACATTTCAAAAATTAATATCATTACTTCCCTAGAATCATTGAGTACAAACTGACGGGAAAGACCAGTATGTTGATGGAATAAATAAGAAATATCGATCACATTTTACATTCTATCTTCCTATTTGGATGGTCATTTAGGGTCTCAGATCATATTTCACTAATACACTCACAAGGTTCAACTTATTTCGATATGGTTGAATACATTAGCTATTTAAACATAGGGATTATGGCTTTTAAGTGGTATAAAAGCAAGCATAATATATCTTTGATCATAACAAAGATAGCTTCCATTTCTATAAGATAGATTTGTAACTTATCATATTCATGTATTTCTCTTTTTCAACAAAGCTTCTCTCATCCTGTACGTCATAAGATACATGGATAATTAGGCTGTTGTATTTGTTTCTTTGAAAGGAAACAGTGGGAGATGATATTAAATATGGTGTAAATGTCAATTTGCATTGGAAGTCTGAACAAATATATGTTATTACTGATCTGGATAACATCACATTTCTAATGTTTTGGTCTTTTTTTCGATTCTATGTCTTGGTTGTAAAATGCTCCTTCTGATTTTACTTGCACGAACAGAAAAGTTACCAATAATGATAGATAAATACTCTATGCACACTTCAATAAAATAATACATGTTTTTAAAAATATCTGAACAAATGGTACTTTATTACTTAAATAATACAAAATCTAAGAAAATTTTGCTGTACTTTTATATGATGAAATACTTTTAATAAGTTTAAAAAACTTTAAATTAAAAATTACAAATTTTTTATTATATCAATTAATTAATAATGCATATCAATTAATTTTTTAAAGATTATAATTTTTCAAAAAAACTAAAACGAAATATATCAAATACAAACAGCAGACTTCTAATAAAAATAACTCTTTAATATATTTATAACATGCTTAAAATTAAGTAGTATTTAATCAATAATAATAGTAAAACTTGAATATTGATTAAATTGTATATACTATAGTAACAAAAAACATATGACATATAACTTAATTTTAACAAAAACAAAAGTTTATTATATATCTAATATTTTAAATTCTTACAGTCCAAATTAATAAAAATCACACGTTTAAACTAAAAAAAGATATGATATAATATTATGAGGTATGAAATTCGTCCATACAATGATAAAAAATTCTCATTTTAGTTTTTTTGAAATACACATAAAATATTTTGGAAAACAAATTTCTCTAAAAAAACTAATAATAGTTAATAGAAACAAAGTTACAAAATAGTAATTTCTAAGATAAAATTGAAAACATTCACAATTTTTTAAAAAATCTAAAAAAATTGAGTCATAGAATACACATAACAAATAAATAATTGTTTTTTTCTAAATTAACACACCTATATTTTACATATGTGGACACAAAATTGTCTATTATCTCTACAAAAATAAACTTATAAGACTTTATTAATACATTACTTATTACAAAAATATATGCAATATATTTACAGAAAAATATACTAGCAAAATTCTATTTTAAACATTAATATATTGTATTACTATATTTGAAAATGGTATATACATTTTTATGTAAAAGAATATAGATTATATCATAAAAACATTATTTACCATCCACATCAACAAAAAAGGAATTCCTTACAAACAGAACATGTAAGAAAAACTAGTATGATTTTTTGGGGGGGTTTAGAAACTCTTTTAAAAATAATATAATATATATTATTAATTTAATTATAAAAAATCATCAAAATATAAGTGTGGTGTAAGAAAAATATATAAGTTAAATTACAAGCCAAATGCATATGAATCTTTTACATCTTTTGAGTTTTGAGAAACTCGACATACTTTATTTATTAAAATGAGTTAGTATAAAGTTGTATTTATATATGTATTACTTGCTTTATTCATCTATACTTATATAGTTTACAGATGCTTCAGGAACCAAATCAAAATTACAGTTTATCAATATGATTGTGATTTTGTATACTATGCAAATGTTGTTTTCATTTACATGAACAATAATTCTTTTAAGGATTTGTAAGAGTTTCAAACAATGACTGTTGTTTTGTATTTGAAACTGCTAATAAAAAAAAAAAATTACACGAATACAATTGAAATGAAAAAAATCCATATTAATTGGAACAATAATCAGATGCTCCAGTTTTATTCATATGTTTGATAAGCTATTTTATTTTTATTTAAATGAAAAAAATTGTTTTTAATTAAATTCAGAAAAAACTTATAGTTGTTGAATTCAATTATATATCAAATTTAGTTAAAACAAAATTAATTTTAATAATATTTTGAAAGTTGTTGTACAAATTTATATAGAAATATTAAGTTTTAGATTAACAGTTATTTTTTACATATATCAAGTTAGTAAATTTTTAAATTAAATCATAATATATTTTTCAAATAATTTAAAAATATTTTGATGTACAACCACATCAAAACAATATTACAAATCAAATATTGTATTTAAAATATTAAGTTAATATTAAAATAAATTATTTTAAATAATAATTAAATATTTATAAAAAACAATCTGCGCGTAGCGCGGAAACATCTCTATCTCTAGTAGTATTTAATTACGTCAATGCGTGTTAATAATATGTTTCCTTTTTTCTAGTAGAGCAGATTTGTAAATATATCATTAATCTTGAAATTTTCATACTGAAACTTTCATATGATGAGGTGTAACAAGCCGAAAAAAACATACTAAAGGACAGGGACCAGTAATATTTTTAATTATTTTAGATAAAATGTTCTCTAAGAAGTATAGTACATAGCAAAAACATAAGATATCAGTGTAAACATAATGTACATGAATCCTATAAAAATCTTTTAATATTATTATTAATTTACGGTTGTTTTCTACGCAAGAGTTTTTCAGATTTCTCTTCTCTTACTTATAAACTATTTTATAAGGTTATGTTTTGGATACTTATTGAGAAAATCCAATTCTTCAATGAGGTTTCTTTAAGATAAATATTAACCATCGATCAAAATCAAAATTGATTAAAGAAAAAGCTTTTTTATTGCCACTTTATTGGTTACCAAATATATTAAAAAAAATTCCAATAAAAACACATAATATAAAAATAAAAGACTCCTTACAATGGATATTTTTAATTTTAAGGTAACATGTTAGAAATCACCAAAACAATACCAGAGAGATTGTCGATATCAGAAACTTTTTGCAAGAGTTGTGGACTAGGTTTAACACTTGGCAACTCTGAATTGCAAGAATCTCCATCTGTCATTGCAGCTGAGACTTTAATGTTTAAACTTGCACCGTCTTTGGCTGCCAAAGCTTTGAGGGCGTCATCAAACTCGCTAAGTGCATCTTTATAATTTTCCGAACATTGAGTATAAACATTCTTGGTACGAGGATCGCTCGCACTTTTCGCCAGTGAGTCGAATTGCTTCTGTGCGTCTGAGGCATCTCCTGATGCATCATCGATCAAAAGCTTTGCGACACCAGGAAGATCCAATGCCTTAGTTTGTGGAGTGGATTTAAAGAAGTTTGAACAGAATGAAGGATTCTTCGCTTTTGAGCAGATAGTGTTGACATCACCGTCTGAAATTTGTATACTGATTCTTGCATATGATGAGGTAACAACAAGAAAAAGCACTACTAAAGAAACGAGTAAGAAGTTGTTTTTGACATACACAGCCATGATTATTCGTTTGTTTTGAATAAGTGGATTCTGTTTTGTCGTTCCAAACAACTATTGTGAGATTTAAATACTGAACCTGTATATCTTGTTTGGTAACGTACGTGTTATGCTTTTATTCAAAAAAAAAAAAAAAATCGTACGTGCTTGATTATGTACAATTATATTAGGCTATTATGTTTCTATATCAGTAGCATTACGTCAAAGAGTGTAAATAAATTTCCTTTTTCACTAGAGAAATATCCTTATTTTACAATTTACAGGTTTCATTCTTGGAAACATTTATGAAAATAATTAGCATAGGAATTCAATCTGTGATCTCTGATTTATTTGCATATCAAAAATTAAGTCAAATTGATATGCAAATAAATTGACTTCCTAACAAGTTGATATGCAAATATTTAGAGATCAGAGATTAACTAATATATACAGATCTCTCTGTGATTTCCTCCGGTGACAATAACATAATTCACATTCGAAAAATTAGCACAGTTTCCTCTATTATTATCAGTAAACTAGGTAACAGTAATTACTAGTTCAACAAAACTAGATGATAGTAACTCTTTATAAGTTTTTATTTTAATATGGTGAATAGTCACAGGTCACATGTATTGAATAATATGTTATTGTAACATTGCTATTACATATGTAAATTTACAAAGTTAGAACTGTAGCATTGCTATATGGTTTTCAGTTTTCACTATAGAGACGGGCTCTATATATTAGGGGTGAGCAAAAAAATCCAACCGAAGTGAATTAACCCAAACCAACCGAATCAAACCGAACCAAAGTCTATACCAAAATATTTTGGTTGAGATTTCTATCAATCCGAATGGTTTGGTTCGGTTCAGTTTTAAACCAAACTAAACCAAAAACCAATATATTTTCTTAAATATTAATTATTAAATTTCTAGTTTTTCTTTTGTTTAAATTTGTGTTGATATTGATTTGTTGCAAGTTTTTTTTAGGCTGTAGAGGCAAGATAGATACTATGATATGATGAAATTGGGTGTTTTGGTTTTCTTTTTAGTTGAGTATGATTTTGAATTGGAGTTTTTTTTTGTTTTACGAGTTTTGTTGTTTAAAATAGTTTACATTTTTATTTTGATTTCGATGTTATGTTTAGTATTTACATAAGATTTTGTTTTGCAAACTATTAAGTATTAACCAAACTAAACAAATCAAACCGAACCATATTTAAACCGAACCAAACTGAAGTCAAACCGAATTAATTTTGGTTGAATTCAGTTAGAATTTTAGTATAACCAAACTAATCAAACCGAACCAAAACCATAAGTAAATCGAAATGTCCACCCCTACAAGTACATATAAGCCTATTGTCCACATGATGAAATGAAATAAAAGGCGTAAATGATATTGTCTACACTAAAATACAAGTACGTGCGTTCCTCACCTGACATTTACCACAGATCCGCCATCCGAGCAGGCAAAATTTCAAAAGTAATTTCCTATCCAGGCAAAGATGATTTATTTTTAAAAAATAATTGAATTCGATAATAAAATTTCTATACATTAATAATGTTAGAACTTTAAAAGTTTTAAAAAAAATATTAATTTATAGTGATTATTAATTTATAGATATATTATTAGGTTGATAACTTAATTTTGGAACTGACAACAAAAATATTAATTTTGTCGAAATATTAATAAATCGAATATTAATTTGTAGATGTTGTACTGTATACAGTAGAACCTCTATAAATTAAGTAGGGGTTATTGATTCTTGTATTTTAGTGAATTTATAAATCTTCTTTGGATTTGATAAATTTATTGATTTCAAAATCAGCAAAATGGAAAAAAATCAAATCCACTAAAATACCAAGGTTAGACCTTGTATTTGGGTCTTTGTATTTTAGTCATAAAAATCCTTCCAAATCTATTCAAATTCAATTAAAACTCAAATTCTTATAATATTTAGATTCTAAAATGATAGAACCAATAACACTGTATTTCATTATGTATTTTAAAATCATAGAACCAATAACACTGTATTTCAATATAAATTTTAAAATACAAGAACCAATAACACTGAATTTGGTTTGGATTCTCAAATCCACTAAAATACAAGAACCAATAACACCTCCTTATACTCAATAAATTAATAATCACTATAAATTAATAATTTTTGCCGGTCCCAAGTTGGGACAGTGTAAAAATTGACAATATTCGATAAGATAATAGGATAATACTTTTTTTGAAAGTTCTATGTAAAAATATGGTCTCAATAATAATATAAATTAATAATCATACATTCAGGTATATATTAATAATATAATATAGTAAACTATGACAATATTGTTGTTTCAAGTTTATAAAATTTGTTTGATTTATCTTCTAAATTCATTATTATGATATTTTTTGAATGAATTTTACATTGTTAAAAATATTAATTTTGTTTTTATGATGAATATTAAAGATTCAAACTAAAAATATCTCTATAAATTAATAACTCTATAAATTAATAAAATTTGGGAGTCCCAACATTATTAATTTATAGAGGTTTTACTGTAGTTTTGATATTTCAATTGATGGCTTGATGCTACTAGTAGTAGCAGTAGAACATCTATAAATTAATACTCGATAAATTAATAATCACTATAAATTAATAATTTTTGCTGGTCCTAAGTCAGGTCAGTGTAAAAATTAGCAAATTTTGATAAGATAATAAGATAATCATTTTTTAAAAACTCCTATGTAAAAATATACTCCCAATAATTAGATAAATTAATAATTATACATTTAAGCATATATATAAATAATATAATATAGTAAAATATAATTATATTATTGTTTCAAGTTTATAAAAATTGTTTGACTTATTTTTCAAATTCACTGATATGATGTTTTCTGAGTAAATTTTACATTGTTGAAAATATTTTTCTTGTTTTTTGACAAATATTTTAAATTTGAACTGAAATATCTCTCTCTAAATTAATAAAATATTACTTTCTCGATAAATTAATATTTATTAATTTATCAATTAATTAATAACTCTATAAATTAATAAATTTTTTAAGTCCCAACATTATTAATTTATAGAGGTTTTACTGTAGTAACATCTGAATCTCACTAACGTTACCAAAATATTTTTTTTTTACTGGTTTAGTAATTAAGATATTTTCCTACTATGAGGAAGATTGATGCTAAAAAAAACTAAAGAAGATTTATTGGATTGTCTAATTAAAGCATATGGTTTTAAAACAAACAAATCAAATTTTGGGATGGGTTTGTATTTCACATCTAGGCTCAGGTGTTACTATCTCCTTTTTTAATATTTTTAATTAATTTATGTTTGTATGTTATCTTTATTATTAAACATTTTATTTCAAATTAATTAAAATTGAATTGGAACTGATCACAAATAATTCGATAATTTTACTGGTTTAGTAAATTAAATTAGTTATCTGTTTTACTAATATAAATGAAAATTATTTCCATGTTTTAGATCTACGAGCATTTATTGTTTTCCAACTTTTTTGATTCACATATTATATAAACATAAAAGTAATATTATTTTTAGAAACCTCGAACGAAAATAAATGTAAATCTCGCTTTGTATAAGTTTAAATTAAAAACAAAAATAACTAAATTTTCTCAAATTTCGACTGAACATTTTTAGATATCCAAATATTTTGAAACTTAATAAATTATAAAATATCTCTTAAATATTTTTATAAACATTATCCTGCATAAACATGCAGGTAGTAACCTAGTATATATAATGCAAGCTACAAAAGTTTTTTTTGTAAATTAATTCAATAGGACCAAATTTCGAGTATGAATTTTAAAAACTATGAATGAAATAACACTATATTTGAATCAGTATTTTGAAGTAACATGTAAATCTTGTGTTGTTGATTCGTGTAACTTTAAATGTATAAATTGAAAATTATAACGAACAACAAAATCATAGGGGGCCAAAATATTTTATTTGTAAAACAAAAATTATGGGTTGGAGGAAATGATGATACGAAAATTCATTTTAAAAACAAGGAAACGTTGAACTGAAAAGACATAAGCTTATTTTCTTTCAATAATAATAATATAATGTAATTGTCCTCTTACAAATAATACAAATTAATCAGAGCAACACACATAAAATGATGATTATCAAATTAAGCTCTACGTGGTAACATGTTAGAGATAACAAGAGCAATACCACAAAGATTCTTAATTTTTTTACTGTTATCCACAACCGAAGCATCTACCGAACTCAATCTCTTGACATCATCTAAACATGTATCAGCTCCATCTAACGCAGCAGAAACTTTCATGTTCATCCCCATGCCATCTCCAGAAGCTAAATGCTCGAAAGCTTCCTCGATGTTTCCAATGGCGCTCTCGTATTCATCTAAGCATGATCTGTAAGCTAATTTGGATCGAGGGTCGACTCCTCCATCGATAATAGATTGGAGTCTTTTGAATGTTTTTGTTGCTCTTGCTTGTGTTGCATCAAGTGTTGTTTTCGCCAAGGCTTGAAGGTTAGGAGATGCGAATTGCGTATTGAGGAAGTTAAGACAGAAAGATGGGTTTAAGGTTTTGTCACAGATTGTGCTCATCTCTGAACTTGTGATTGCGTACGAGGAAATGATTAAGAGAAGAAACATTAGAGAAGACAAGAACGCATTGTTCCTTAGATTCGCAGCCATTCTTGTTTTCTCTGTTTTTATTTTTCTTTTCTTTTCTAGTTGATGATAGATAATAATATTTGAAGCAATGAGTATTTATTTATATAGAATGATTTACCTACAACGCATTAGTCAAAACAGAATCAAGAATAGAAGTTGATATGAGCGATGAAAAAACCTTTTGCCATTGTTAGAACTTAGAGGAATTGCAAATATAGTAAACCTTCATGCACAAGTTATTTATGACTTAGCCTTATGCAATGATAGAATTCTTTTGTCAATAAATTAGAATTGTCTAATGATATGATTATGATCAGTTGTTTGTGCTCAATTTATCATGTATGGAGCTAATAA